ATTATGAGGCTCGTGCGTTGTCTCCTGAGCCCCAATTTGTAATAACGTCCCGAGCTATGTGGCTGTGATTTTAAGAACGAGTTAAGCCAGAGAAGCTCGGGATGTATATGTGGTCGGGATTTTTACTTGGAATGAAATTTTGTATTCATAAAGCCACGAGGCCTAGGTGCTGCTCGTGATAGATCTTTTGGTGCGTGCTCGTGACTGGTCTTGAGGTGCTTGCTCGTGACAGGGCTTTGGGTGCCTGCTCGTGACAGGGCTTTGGGTGAGATCATGCCCGTAGCGTGTCTCGATGTATGCTCATGGCATGATTGAGGAGTTCGCTCGCACTATGCCATGAGGGCCTGTTGGTGACGGGACTTTTGGGGAGATCATGCCCGTAACATGTCTCGATGTATGCTCATGGCATGATTGAGGAGTTTGCTCGCACTATGCCATGAGGACCCATTGGTGACGGGACTTTTGGCGAGATCATGCCCATAGCATGTCTCGAGGTATGCTCATAGCATGTTTGAGGAGTTTGCTCGCACTATGCCATGAGGGCCCTTTAGTGACGGGACTTTTGGGGAGATCATGCCGGTAGAATGTCTCGATGTATGCTCATGGCATGATTGAGGAGTTTGCTCACACTATGCCATGAGGGCCCGTTGGTGACGAGACTTTCGGCGAGATCATGCCCGTAGCATGTCTTCGGGAAAAATGCTTCAACAAATTTTTGTTAGGTCTTCCCCAGTGGCTATTTCATATAAACTTTTCTATGTTTTAAAGCAAGCATAGGCTCGTAGGCCTTGATAAATGAATTACTAGAAGAAAAATGCACGGGGCATACAAGCCCGATTGAATGCAAGCCCAAAATAAAAGTAAAATTAACTAAGTAGACAAGGTGAGGAATACTACTTGATTGTACCAGCCGTGGGTCTGTTATCTCCTCCTGAGCCTGAGGTCCTTCTTTCGTTGTGATCATTCCTTGGACGTTTATCATCCTTGACATATGTCTTCAGAAATCCCCTCTTGATCAATGCCTCAATCTCCTGTTGTAACATCGCACATCCTTCTGTCGTGTGCCCATGATCTTTGTGAAAGTCACAGTATTTATTTTTTATCCCTGGTCCCTGGAGGAGACCGCAACCTCGGGGACCATTTAAGCTCCTCCATGTCCCTAATCTCTGCCAATATATTGGTCTTTGATGTGTTTAAGTGGGTGAAGGGCCC